TTCTCGCCAAGAAAGGAGAAAACTAGTTCAATCCCGCCAAGAAAAGGGATCCATTCACTCATACGATTTCTACACGTATCATTTGGTATCAGAGCGGTTGATCCTTTGTTTCGATCACGATGAGCTCAGAGAGACCATCAAGAAAGGAACTCATCAATCGGGCACTCGAGCATATAGAATGTGTCATGGCTACCTACAACATGCTCATTGCGGCGTATGACAAACACAGGCCAGCAACAACACCACCGAGGCTGCAAGTCGAGACCCTGGCCGCCATGGAAGAGTCGGAGATCACCGTTCCACCTGTATCAACTGCACAATCACCGGCGCAAGCTGAAGCTCTAGCAGAGTCTATAAAGGACGAGGAAGAAGACGGTGTCCCACCACGTGCGCGTTGGGTGTCGTCCATGTCGCAAACAAGAACAACATCGTCGACTGCTAGTGCACCGCCGCCGTCGCTCGATACCCTCACCGCCATGGAAGATGCGAAGATCGCTCCGCAACCAAGTTCCATTGCACCCCTGGGCGTCGCGCTGATGCTACCGATGCAGACTGCTACTGTTGCTGTTTTCGTTGGTCCACCGCCGCCACAGATTGAGAGCTTTTTGAGTTCACCGATCGCACCCCCTGGGAGCGCAGCAAAACTGTCATCGATTGTCGTTGAGCTGGAGTCACCACTTGGATCAGCAGCCATAACCGCTCCTTTTTCATCAAGCCTTGCTGTAAAGGATCATCATGAGAGGAAACCCCAATCTCTATGGGTTACCTGCCATCCGCTACTCAAACATGGACTAACCTTGGGCCAATTAAAGTTTTGGGGATTTACAATGAAACACGAGGTGGAAGCATGTATGTTTGGTGTTGATGGCTACTTTCTGTATTGGTGGAAGAAAAGGAAGAAGAAAAGGAAGAAGGATATTTGGGAGGAAGACAAGAGGGTAGAAGTTGAATGTGTAGAAGCGCTTCCAGCCAAGTTTTTGCACAAAAAGTTCTATTATGGAACTCTATTGAAGAAGGCTTTCGACGAGGAGCTCGAGGATGCCGCTGCCGATGATCAGAGGAAAATGGGTTTGGGGAGGTTGAGCAGGGTTCATGGGAGGGCTCAACCAAAGAAGAGTAAGACAGAGTCCAAGAAGCTCGCTAATGGAGTTGGACTGGAGAAAGGAGATGAAGCTCCACAAGCTGTTGTTCTACCAGAGACTCAAATCTTCAAAAGTAAGAAGCTGAAACTTATTGAGCCGGGGTTTGAATTGCAGGCTGATCCCGAGGCTAATATAAGTTATTTGAAAGAAATTATTCAACTCTGCAAAGACCATGATTCGACCATTGTGAAGGTCAGTCTATTGTCATTGTTGGCTGTTTACAAAAGCAAAATACATGGGTATCACATACATGGCTTCGCACTGCAAAGGAGCTAGGAGTGAAAGTTTTCAAGGAAGTGAAGCAGATGTGGTCCTATGACTCAACACGGTTGTTCACAAACAGCAGAAATCTGCAGTGGAAGAGTCGAGTCCACGCAGCTACGACCGTAAAGACATGGGATGAGAATCCTCTTCCAAAAGGAAAGCTGAGACCTCGAGCAAGGCAGGGTAGAAACAGGTTCAGCAGCCTGAGTATGGGTTGAATTAGTTCGCTAATTAACTCGAACCTTGTGGACAAGGTTCTTTTGAAGGGGGAAGGAATGATACGTATAGATATATTAGAGTTTCCATTATTTGAATTAGTTAGTAGTGTTGAGCAAGTCGGTATGTAGTTAGAGAGTCATGTGTTTGTTAGAGTATTTAGGAGTGTTTTGCATAATAGGTGGAGTGGGTTTAGTGGGTTTAGCATCTTATGGTTAGTTGGTTAGCGTAGATAGACGTGGGATTAGCTCCAGTTAGATAGGATTTTTCAATTCCAGTTTTGTGTATTTAAGTCGAGAACGTAATGGATAATGGGTAAGCAATTTCAGAAAACAAGAAAATCCCTGGTCATTTCTCGCCAAGAAAGGAGAAAACTGGTTCAATCCCGCCAAGAAAAGGGATCCATTCACTCATACGATTTCAACACGTATCACGATACCCTCCTCCTCAAGCTTCGCCAGATTCGAAGCCCGCCATCGACAATTTCTGGTTCGATGTAAACTAGCTAGTTTTCCTCTACAATTCCAAATAGGTTATCCCAAGATCGTTCACTCAACATTGATGAGTCACGAAGTTCTAAGAGATTAACACCAGAAGAAGGAGAGAAGTGGATAAGGAAGAGGTAACGGCGAGGATCAGTTTCTACCAGAGCTCGGTTTGCGCTGGAGATGACGGTGGGATGTGCAACAGATTTTCCTGTCCAAACCTCTCTCTCTTACTTTCTCTCTCTTGTAATCCCCTTCTCTCTTGGACCCATTAGTTGCAAAAGAAGTTTTTTAGCCACCACTTTCATATGCTCGAATCATCCTAGCATATGCTTTTCAATCACTAGATTTGGTTTCCTCCAATATCTCAAACGCACAATATTGGTTGAGGATAGTGTATTTTATGTGTTGAAATCATGCAGATGACAACACAAATTGATCATGCTAGTGAGAAGCATTTTTGTCACGCCTTCTCCCTGTCCGTCAATGTGCAATTGAATCATACATAATGTCTTTAGACATTAAAAGGAATGATCTTTCCGAATGGGCCTAATACCAGAAAAAGGCCCATAGTTTAGGGTTTAAGTCACTTGCACCCCTATGTTTATACCGCGTCACTTATGTCCCAAAGTTTAAAGCTTCATGTCAAAAAAGTCCTCTGACATTTTGTTGACCGTTAGACTTAACGGTCAACCAAACGTCTGTCAATATTTTGTTGACTTTGTACCAACGTGTCTGCCATGTCACCAGTTTGACAAAAAACAATATTTTTAATTTTTATTAAAAAAAATTCACCCCCGCCATCACCGAGCACTGCTCTCTACATCGACCCTCCTGCCTTTTTCCCATCCCTCCCCAAAACCCACAGTCCCCTGAAATCGCACCCCCATCTCAGCATCTCCCTCCGCTGAGACGCACCCCAACTCAGCAACCCCCCGCTCTTCTCTGTTTGTGACAGTCGCCGCCGCCGGATAGAGCTCAACGTCCCAGAACGAGCAACCTTCGAGCGACTATCGTCGCACCGCGATCCTCCACCTCTTGCAAATACCCGTCGATGATGGGTCCAGAAGCCCGATATGGGTTCAATAGACGATCTGTTTTCGGTGAAGATCCGACAATCTAGCCATCAACGATTCCCACATAATCTTCGACAATCGCCGGTGGATGTTGGTTTTTCTCGAGCTCGCTTTTGCTTTCCGGCGCCGCGACCTCGGTTTTGCTCGATCAATCTGGTTATGCCTTCCTAGCGCTCGATCTGGATCTGGTCCCTCTCAAGGATGGCAGCACTATTGTCGGCAACGGAGGAGTAGAGGAGGATGGGAGGGATTGAAAGACCGGGCTTGGGCTTGGGGTGCTTGAATGGGCGGCTGAAGGGATTGACGAGGAGGATGGTGGGCGGTGAATATTCTGGCTGGCGGCGACTAGGGTTGGGGAGCTTTTCTCGATGGCGGAAAGTAGAGAATTGGGGTCGATGAAATTGAAACCCCATGCCACTTTTAATTTCCTTTTTTACTTTACTTACTTTTACCTTAGTAATTCTGTAATGATTTGGCAAATAATAATTATTTTTTATTGGTATGTCGTCGGTCAATGGTTGACCGTCAAAAATAACGGAATAAGTTAACGGACTCTAAACTTTGGGACATAAGTGACGCAGTATAAACATAGGGGTACAAATGACCCAAACCCAAAACTATGGGCCCTTTTCTGGCATTAGGCCTTCCGAATGAAAGTAAAATTGTTATGCTTCATGTCATAGGCTTGCGAGTTAGCTCATTTCGGTGCATTGTTGAGTTAACACGTGAACTGGCTCGATAGTGTGGTTAGCGAGTTGGCTTGTTGATAATTAATAGATTTGTTAGATTAAGTATCATACCATATATGATGGTTTAAGACTTTGAGAAAGTGAACAAATATGCATCACTTATGCTTCAAATATTAATTATTTATTATAGATTGTTTAGATAATAATAATTATAATTAAATAACATGATATGAACTAGTTTAATATTTATAAAAATAAATAGTATGATACCAAAAAGTAATATAAACATGCGATCAATTAATGATGAATTTTTTTGTATTATTATTTTTATTATAATATTAATTAATAAATCTAATTTATTCTTTATTTTAGTAATTTCATTATGACTAATAAATAATCTGACTCGAGCTAAACACGTGAGCTCGTTGATGAGCCAAACTCAACTTTAGATTGTGGGCTCATTAATATATGAAGCACGAGCCAAGACCAAGCTGAATTCATTTTTAACGAACTAAGTTCAATCTAGCTCAAACTCGACTCCGATAATCAACCTCATTTGTAGCCCTAGTTAGCCGACACCATTCCCCAAATTATATTCACTATTCAACAAGCAAACTAAGCCCATGTGTTCCACCTTTTCCCTACGGGGTTAATTGCATGGTTGATCACTGAGATTATAAAAAAACGTTCAAGTTTGGTCACAACTCCATTAACTTTTGCTTACGTGACGGTCAACTTTAAAAGTTGACCGTTAAATGTGTGACGTGACGATTTAAAATTAATAAAATTAAAATTTTCAAAATTGGCATATCATTTCCACCTCATTATCACTTTTATTTAAAATAAATAAAACCCCCTAATTTCTTCTAATCCCCAACACCGATACCAATACCCCCACCGGCAGCATACCCCGTCGTCGTTGCCGCTTCCATTGTTGGGCTTCCTTCCCACAGGACCGGAAATCTCGCATGCCGCCTACTGCCATTAAAATTCCCTTTTCTCAAACACTCCAAATCAAAGCGAAAACCAATAACAACAATGGCGGAAGCAACAACCGTGGTCGACACATCATCCTCCATCACCAAGCCGACCTCCTCCCCATAATCCGCCACGGCCTACCTCCAGAACATGGACGAGTTGCAGAAGGTGTTCGAGAAATTCGACTCCAATGGTGACCGCAAGATCTTACCCTCCGAGCTCGCAGACGTCCTCAGATCCATGGTGACGAACTACTCCGCTCCGGATCTCCAGCACGCCATGGAGGACATCGATACCGACAATGACGGTTTCATCAACCTGGAGGAGTTCGCACAGCTCTGCCGCTCGTTCTCATGCGCCTCCGCGGCCGCCGAGCTCTACGAGGCCTTCAACCTGTACGACGAGAACAAGGACGGGCGCATCTCCAGGTCCGAGCTCTACCACGTGCTCAACCGCCTTGGGATGAAGTGCTCCAGGATGATCAAGGGCGTTGATTCCGACTGTGACGGATGCATCAATTTCCAGGAGTTCGAAAAGATGATGGCCACCGCCAACGGTGTCGTTGATTTCGCCGTTGCCGCTGTCAACTAGCATCCCCTCCCTGCTCGAATTGAAAGTTCCCCACTGCCGGTATCTTCTGCTTTTACTCCGTTTCCGCCTTTTGTGTCTCTTTTTTTCTACCAATTGTGTTGTTGACTTGTTGTCAAATTCGAATCTCAAATCTAGAATACTCATTAGCGGGTAGAAAGGGAGACATGGAGTGAACCAAAGAGACAAGGAGAGAAGCGCCTTAGCGGACTGACAACTCTAATCCGCTGGGAATCGATCCTACCGATGAGCCTTTCTTCCGGTATGCGAGATTTTTGGTCTTGTGTGAAGGAAGCCCAATAATGGAAGCGGCAGCGACGAAAGGGTATTGGCATGAACCAGTTGATCTCAATAATTCGAGTTGTTGATAGAGGTTCAATCGTGGATCGTCTACCACACGCTAACATGCCCCCTCAAACGAAAACCATTCACAAGGGCTTGAAGTTTGCACAGGTCTGAAGACAAGAATACCATGTGCTTAACAAATGGTGGTCGTGGGGATTCGAATACAAGACCTCTCGGTCACTTAAGGCTCTGATACCATGTCAAGAACCATTTGGTTCCAATAACTCGAGTTGTTGGGATAAGGTTATGCTGCATCTTATATCACTCTCTAACACGCTCCCTCAAACGAAAGCCAACCCATGGGATTGAAGTTTGCACATGCCCACCATACCTTGTGCTTTTAATCAACTGTTAATGTTGGGGGTCGTGAATATTCGAACACACGACCATTTGGCCAAACCAGCTCTAATATCATGTCATAAACTAGTTGGTGCCAATAACTCGAGTTGTTGGGAGAAGGTTATGTTAGATCTTATACAGGCCCATGTATGGTACTTAACCACTTCCTTACATGTATGATGCCGGCAGGGGTATTGGTATTGTGGATTAGAAGAAATTAGATATTTTATTTATTTTAAATAAAAGTGGAAACGAGATGACAATTTTGAAAATTTTAATTTTATATTATTTTTAGATTGTCACGTCACACATTTAACGGTCAACTTTTAGAGTTGACCGCCACGTAAGCAAAAGTTAACGGAGTTGGACGGAGAGTGACCAAACGTTAACGGTTTCAGTAAACTGAAGTACCACCAATGGATTTAAATATTTTGAGTGACCAAACTTGAACGTTTTTTGTAATCTTAGTGACCAACCATGCAATAAACCCTTTTCTCTACTCTGTATGTTGGGTTTTGCTCAATGTACGTTGGCTCAGCAAGTGATACATATATCCAGGAATGGGTTAGGGTGATTACTTGTTTTTTAGTAATCACGGTGACAACCTCTTTATATATGATTAGATTTCATATTTTCCCTTCTTTTTTAATCTTACGGTCAAGATTCTTTTAGGGTAATTTTCGAAATGAAAAAGTGACAACACCCGATTATTCTATATAATCTATCCAAACTCTAGTTCTACCCTCCTTCCATCCAAACCCGCCACAGCCGCCTCCACCACTCCATCGAACTAATCCCGCCGCCCGCCTACACCAGTTACTAGCCTCTCCTCGGTCACCGCTAACGACCACCCTCGATGACAACGACGCCTACAGCCGGTCACCCTTCCCTCGGCCACCCCCATCTTCCGCGAGCTCCCGGCGGAGCCATTGCTGCTGCTGTTGAGCACGTCGCGGCCCAAAGGAAGAATCGGACTCGCAGGAGCATCAGCTGCGGCGGCGGCGAAAATAGTGGTCTCGTTGCGGAGACACAATCAGAAACTTGTCTCAAGAACATGTGGATTGTTTATATTGGTAGTTTTTTGTTTAATGGTATAGATTATTTCTGCAATGGTATTGATGTTTTTCAAAATGGTAGTGGTTGTGTAATGGATTGGTAGTGATTTCGAGTTTTTACTTTTGCAGAAAGATTGAGAAAAATATGGAAAAGAGATCTTGCGGGAGATTACGGAAGTGAGAGAAAGAGAAAGAATTATAATTAATAGATTTTTGTAACTACCTAAAGTGTAATTTATTAAAATAAATAAATAAATATAATTTATTTTTCCATATCCAATTTATCCTTAGTAACCACGGTGGTATAGTAGGGAATATAACATAGTAAGGAATATTATACCAAAGTTACTACACTATGTACCGCAAGCAACATGTATGGTAGTAGTAGTAGTAAATGATCAATACGTTCATGAAATACGAGCCATGTACATTTATTTAACACCTCCCTTCTTTTACTTTTCCCTTTGCTCCCTTGCAGTATATAATAATGGATACAAACTTTCATGGTAAGAAATGAACAATGTATGCATATATCTTGCTGCACTATTACTACTGTATACATTCAATCGTAAGAAGCTCGTAGAGGTATTATGGGGTTGAGATCACGTCGTATATATAGTTGCTTACAGAAGAATAGTGGCTGCCCAGCTACTACGGTGTGGTGTTAAGAGTTTAGGCCGCGGGGGGGCTGTAATTGAATATTGGTATTCTATTCACCCCTTCAGATCATAAACGTGAGCCCGTAATGTCTAGGAGAGAGTAGCTAGAGAGGAATTTCAATTACTTACAGCTAGCTAGCTTGCTTGCTTGGAAAAGAAAACCATACAATAAAAATAGGTATAGCAAAGGAACAAAACTAACAGTTTAAGGCATTCCTCACGAGACTCCAACACTTAGCATTTATTGTACGTATACTACTAGTAGTCGTCTACTACTACTACTACCAAACTTTACCTCCTTTTTTTTTTACATTCTTCAACTTTTTCACCCTTTTGTCCTTAGGTTGCACGAGCTACCCCTATATATAAATACCCTGCCCTTTTGATTTTCCCACTCCCATCTCAGAAAGGGAATATTTGTAGAGGCATCAGATCAGCAACAAGAAGATCATCAAAGAGAGAAGCATATATATATATATATATATATATATATATATATATATATATATATATATATATATATATGGCTCACAACGCGGTGGAGAGAAAGCGGAGAAGGCAGATGAATGAGCATCTCAAGCTCCTGCGCTCCCTAACCCCTCGCTTCTACATCAAAAGGGTATATGTACATCTATCTCTATCCACCTACATAGCCAAAATCATGGGTTACAAGCCTTTGCTTTGAAAAACATGTTTGATTCAATCGGTAGAAAACCCATATATGGTTCTAAAACGTGCGCCTAGACACTCGCTAATTTCACCTAGGTGCTAGCTAGCTAGGCAGAAGGAAGACATATCTCCTTCGCCATAAGTAGCGAACAAGATGTCTCGAGCACATTGTGGCCATGCTTGCGTCTAGTTAGCATAGAATTATGGTGTCTCTTTTCTATCTTTTGATATGCTACTAGATTGATAAATCAAGACCGTACTCCCTTTTACTTCTTCTCCTGCCAATGTTACTAACTGCTAGGCTAGAGTTAGAGACAAACATCTTTAGAGTAGCTTTTTCTTTCTTTCTTTTTTGTACTTCTTCTCTCTTAATCCACTCCACTATTTTGCAGCTTTTTCTTTCTTTCTCATTTCTCCACACTATTTTTTATACTTTACCACGTGTTGTTGGTTGTTTGTGAGGATTTAGAACTGAAAGGTAGAACACGATGATATTGGTTTTCATAAAATTATGATTGTAAGCACGTCTAGATGATGTCTAAGCATGCTAGGCGATAGTCAGAGCATCAACGCCCATCTTACACCTAACATTTTCTTTAAGTTTGACAAAACCTGTAAGTCTCTGACGGTGACTTATAATGATTTCGCACCAATGTTTTATTAATAGCTTTACCATATTATAGATCCAAATCAGTTCGAAATGAATTTTCCACATCTACATATGTATTTAGTCTTTAGCTACAATTTGCTACCATGATTTCTGATCGAGTTCTATATGAAGCATATCCTATCAAAACTTTGTTATAAGATGTATGACTAATTCTTACTTTCGTTCTCCTGGTGATGTGTGCTCGAATTCTCTTTTCGAAAATGAAGGGGGACCAAGCATCGATCATAGGTGGAGTGATAGAGTTCATCAAGGAGTTGCACCACCTGCTTCAAGTCCTGGAATCCAACAAACAACGGCGCCTGAGTTTGAGCCCTGCAAGTTGCCCTAGCCCTAGCCCTCGGCCAATGTTGCAGCTAATGCCTTCTACTGCTGATCATTATAATAACCCATTTCCACCGTCATCATTAAAGGATCAGACGTACTTGCTAGGTTCATCTTGCAACTCCTCCGTTGCTGACGTGGAAGCCAAGCTATCCGGATCCAATGTGGAGCTGAAGGTGATCTCGAGGCGGGTTCCGGGTCAGGCAGTGAAGATCGTTGCTACGCTCGAGATGCTGTCGTTTGATGTCCTTCACTTCAACATCAGCAGCATGGATGACACTGTCCTCTACTCCTTCCTCCTCAAGGTATATACTGTTTTTGGAGTTAAAGAAAGCTAACACTTAAGAAAGAAAAAGAAAAAAAGAAGGCAAAACATAACCTATTTACACCATGATATTGATATGAAAGAATCCTATGTTGGGAGAAAGTTGAAGGGAGGAGGCGGCTTGGTGAATGCTTGGTTGGTGTCATTTTCATTTGGATTTGTCTGACAGATGTACACGGAAAAGCATGCGAACAGAGCAGATATATTCTCATTTCTGTGCTTGTCAGTGAGCCATTAATATTATTCCTCTCCCCGCCGGCCGGCCGTCCCTTTCAATGCATATCCAAATTCCATATATACTAGCCAGACATTATATATTCAGTTATAATATAGTTAGGGTTTGGTGGTGCGGTTGCAGATAGGGTTGGAATGTGGGGTGAGCATGGAGGAGCTTGCAGTTGAAGTCCACCGCACTTTCTTCTCTCCACCGCCAATTACAGCTGCTGCAGCTGCTGGTCGTCGTCATTATCATGACATTTACCAGAATGAGCTGCTTTAATTTGTTTGTAATACTAGTAGTCTAGTACTGCAACGCAACCTGGGGACTATATATATACAATGTTTGTTCGATGGCTAGGTCATATACTAAACAAAGGAGAGATGGGACATTAAACGTTTAT